TTCTGTTTTAATATTTCTATAATAGATATGAATGTAACTTATTCAACGGTCTATTGACACCAAATTACCAGTATTATATTACTTTACTATCATTTAAGATACAATACTAAGAAAACCACTGTATGTTTGAAGATATATTGTCATATTTTATATCTGGATTATAATCAGTACTACAACTGACAAGGTTAATAAAAACAGTCTTGATATTGATATATTAATATTTATATTATAAACTGATATTGTCTAATATAATGATAACATGAAGATATTCTATTTTTATCATCTTAAATTATCTCTTTCACAATATATATAATAATAACAATCAGAAGTAGTATATACTGGTATATCTATTTATCTTGTGTTATTTTATATCACTATAACAATCCCTACTGTTCTAGATTTACACCTCTAATTCTAATCAGTTAGAAACTTTAAATACCGTACTTCAACAGATTGTAAGAAAGTTTTCTAAATAGCATCAATTTACACCATTCCAATAAATATTCAGTGTCCCTAATATACATGAAAAATTAAGAAAGGTCTTTACAATCTCTTTAACTTTATCAATTATTGATAGACTATATTATCTCATAAGACAGTCAATTCTTAGAGAGGTTGAAATTAGAACTCTGACTGTATCAGAAGTATACTCAAGATTAGTAGATTACCTGTCTATCTGTCTATCTATCTCTGTCTGTCTATCTCTGCAAGTTCAACACTATGTCTAATTTTCACATAATCAATAAACTTATCTATTGCTCTGTGACCAAGGCCAGTGCTTTCATGGAGACTCATCTCATTACATCCTAATACTAAATACTGTCAATATAGAAATAGTCTACCACTGCCAGCCACAGACAGAATTAGTTCAAAATTATTCTATTTAACAAATCTGACAAACTCAAACATTCACCTCTGTAAATATTACAGTAGAAACAATAATTCTAATAAAATGAAAAAAGTTTTACTTCACCAGCCCAATATTCCACATTATCCCTGATTAAATTCAACTCAAAACAGTCACCATGACAGAAGAGAAAGTTACAAGATAAAATAATTATCATGCATAAAAGGTTTATATTCTACATCATGTGACAGTCTCATTTACTGTCTATTTATAGCTTGTTTCATCCATTAATATAGCAGCTTCACTTTTATCATAAACTGTAGCCTATATAAATCATAATTCTTATGAAATGAATGGAGGTCTGAATGAAGGGTAACCCCATTAAATATGCAATGGGGGAAACTGCAACTGAGCCATGGAATGATAGCATTATTAGCCAACTAGGCATGACTGATTCCTTCTTGAGGATTAAGGAAACTCATCTCAACAAAACAAATCACAAATAGCCTTTTTGACACTCGTAGACATAACTCGTTGTCCAATGTGGATCGTTTGACAGCCTTCAACGTTCTAGAAGAAAACAAATATTGAAAATATAAACAAACCATGACAGAAATTAATTTCATTGCTTCATCGTTCTTGTAAAAAAAATGAAAGATTTCATTTGTTTGTTTACTTCCTATTATTTATTGAGAATCACTGTTCAAGGGTTGTACTAAGGTTTCTTAAAAAGAGTTACCTCCCATAGACCATAATTTCTTATCAAAAATTTTTCTTTTGTTTTCTGTAACAATTTTTTAATTGGATTTATATTTTAATTTGTGTGTGAAAATAACTTAGAATCTTATTTTACAAAATCTAAACCAAATAACTTATTTCTTTAATTAAAAATAGGAAAACAATCTTATCATCCAATCAGCAGCCAGGAAATTATTGACTGCAACAAAATCTCAACACACTTCCTTTTACGCTGAACTCTCAAAGCTCAAGGTAGCACGTGAATTTCTCTCCCAATATTTTCCTTCTAATTAGTTTTAGCGAGTTAAAAATGAATTGAATATTTTCGAAGTGCATTATTTAGACAATAATCTCGATAATTTGAGTAATTGCTAGTTTTTAGCATAATTTCTGCAGTCGGAAAACTGATCAAAAGTACTGTCAATGGAGGCGCATGTATTTCCATTTGTTCATGAATGGAGATTAAAAATCGGCCCATTGTGACTTATTCAAGCCGCACTATTTCGGTATCCCCTTCATAAATGATACTTTCATGTTTTATGTTAACGAATATAGTAAAGTTGATGCGTTGGGGGCCAGGGATTGATGGATGGAGTTGGATTAATTATTGAGAATTATTGAAAGAATTCAGGCAGTTACATTTATTATATAGCTGTACAGTGATGATTTACATAGAACCACGCCATATTTCATGTGTTAACATAACTCTGCACAATTATTATATTGAACTTGACTGCAATGCATGTCATAATTCCAATATCAATGTTTATTTACTTGCTCGATGTTCTAGTATGGGGGTTCACCTGAGCACTCCCAAGAGAACCTGTCATAAAGTTCACTTCTAATGTTATGATTATTGAATGAAATTTATATTTTTTTCAAGCAATTTGATTGTGAGAGCCAGGTGACAAGATGCAGATCTTCGTCAAAACATTGACTGGTAAGACCATCACCTTAGAGGTCGAACCAGCTGATACCATAGAAAATGTCAAAGCCAAGATTCAAGATAAAGAAGGCATTCCACCAGATCAACAGCGATTGATTTTTGCTGGAAAGCAACTTGAAGATGGCAGAACTCTCTCGGATTACAACATCCAGAAAGAATCGACCCTCCATTTGGTATTGAGATTACGTGGAGGTGCCAAGAAACGAAAGAAGAAGAACTACACCACCCCCAAGAAACAGAAACACAAGCGAAAGAAGGTTGGTTTGCAGAGGACGCACATGTGACTCTTAGTCTAGTGCTGATGCGAATTAATTGTTCTTTTGTCGTGAAACATGTAAAATGGTGACCAGACCTCACTGGTTTTCACCATTCAACTGCTGGTAAAGGTAGAAAGACTTGTGAGTCATAAACGAGTGTTAAAAAAATAATCTAAAACAAATTTCAAACCTGTCATTTGGGTGAAAGGTCTTAAAATGACTCTTGGAAGCATTGATATTTAACATCAGAATTTTTGTTTGCTTTGAGAGGGATTCAAACCCACATCTTAAAATTATAATTTTCTACCAGACAATCTGTTCAATTGTCTGCCCTTTGGGTAGATCCAAGACAGATCTGATGAAAGTGTTATGGAATAATTTTAAAATTCCTCTAGGGTAAATCGACCTTCTACAATAAGTTGGTATGTTTTTTTTTTTTTTTTTTTTTTAAATGTTGCTGTTCGAAGTCTCCCTTGGGATCAGCTGTCCCTTTTCGATTGATTTCTATCCCCCAATCTGTAAACATTAAGATTATCTTCTATTATAGGTAAAACTTGCTGTATTAAAATATTATAAAGTTGATGAAAATGGTAAAATCACCAGATTGAGACGAGAATGTCCCAATGAAGAATGTGGAGCTGGTGTTTTCATGGCTTCTCATTTTGATCGACAATATTGTGGAAAGTGCTGCCTCACTTACGTTTTCAACAAGCCAGAAGACAAGGAGAAAGCAACCAAGACGAAAGGAAAAGGCAAATAAGATGTAATTGTTAAATAAAAGCCTAAAAGAAATTCATATAGTTTTATTAAAAAATACTTCAAGGGGGTCTGATAAACTTTTTGTGTATCTGGGACACTGACATCTATTTGCACCATTCAAATTGAAGAAAAAAAGATTTTAATGCCCCTGATGCACATGAAAGTATGAAAATCTCTGGAAGAAACTGAATATTCAGTCTTGATTTAGGACATCCGAAAATTGAGATGTGAGCTGAGCAATCCATATCCGAAAAAGTCTAATTGATATTTTCATGTCCTGAAATGTCAATTGACCTGAAGCCGTTTCGTATCTTCAGTCCACAAGTAACTAATTTCTTGGAATTCCATTTAAATGAGCATTTCCTCTTAGAATGGCCATAAGTCTCAATACTTGGCCAAGAGTATATATTTTCATCAAATGGAACTTCCAGGTGTCCTGATAAAGAGAAAAAAACAAACCGGATTCTCTTGTACAATTTCACACCAGGCCCGGTATTCTGGAAACGATCTTGGCGCTAGGATATCCTTTAATCAATGTTAAAAGATAAGAACCTTGGACATCCTAACTCTAAGATTGTTTTGAGAATACAGGACCAGTTTCACTGCCGAACAAGGATTAATTTTGGCAAAGATTGAACATTTCAATCATTTGGCCATCTTAAGAGGTAGTGTACCTTAAAAAATTGATCTTGCAAGAAACTGAATTGGAAGTTGGTTCAAGTGGCTGGCAGATAATCAACACCATTTATTGTTTGAGGGAAAATCATCTGTTCCAGAAATCGTGGCATTTCATTGAACTTAGAGAGGGGCAGGAGAACAACCCAAGACCCTAGAATGTACATGCACTGGCCTCTTGTTATAGATTGAGGTAATTCTGCCTCATTCATGTATCATCTAACCAGTAAGAGATTAGTAAACAGTAATAATGTAATATTAACATAAGGAATAAAAATTTATTTATACACATACAAAATACTAAAATTGACAAAAAGGTAATTAGTGTTTATGTTATAATTTCATATTTACCTTCATACAATTTATATATAAAATAATTGTCCCCAACAAAATGGACAAAAAATTCAAATATTTAGAAATGCAAAGATTTTTGGGTTAAGAGGATTAGAAATTTGGTAACGAAAACATAATTTTTTTTTTCAGACAGCACTAAAATGAACTATTTTTGATTTTCTTATTTTGTAGTTTTTAGATAAATTATTACATATTAGACCTGATCAATAATCTAATTAACAGGAATAGTTGAAAGTGAAAATATTGCTATATAAAGAGAATTACAGATTTACAGATTGAAGACTCGGGGAGTCGAATAAACCCCAACTAACACGAAAACATCGACAAAATATATATACATGGTTACAACATTAGAGTGATAACATTCTAGTTTTAAATAACTCGACAGTTGAGAAGTTTTATATCTTTCTTTCAATATTTAGAAACCATGGACCTGAAATAATAATATATTTTATTAGAATTATAGTTGAGTTTCCTTCAAAAGGATTGTAAAGAGGTATTCTATTTTTATTGTGTATCAGGGACACTGATAGCATCAATTTGCACCATTCCAATGGTTCAGATCAGTATCCCTGATGCATAAAAATTTAGAAAATCTCTTTATAATCCTTTAATTTTTTATTTGTTCTATTGACACTGATTGTATGAGTTTTTAAAGCAAGCCTGGATTTAAATCTCATTTCATCACTTTTTCACAGCTCTTGCATTACAGACATGGACAGGGGACAACCAGGTTGAAGAATCTAATCTTGACCTGTGACAGAATCAAATCTTGTGATAGTCTTTATACTCCTTGCATCACTGACCAGGGAAAAGTTGGTTGAATAATTTATAAGTATTATGAGTGACCTAGGTCAGTATAAAACCTAGTAAAAGTATTATGAGTGACCTAGGCCAGTATAAAACCTAGTAAAAGTATTATCAGTGACCTAGGTCAGTATAAAACCTAGTAAAGTATTATCAGTGACCTAGGCCAGTATAAAACCTAGTAAAGTATTATGAGTGACCTAGGTCAGTATAAAACCTAGTAAAGTATTATGAGTAACCTAGATCAGTATAAAACCTAGTAAAAGTATTATGAGTAACCTAGATCAGTATAAAACCTAGTAAAGTATTATGAGTAACCTAAGTCAGTATAAAACCTAGTAAAGTATTATGAGTAACCTAGGCCAGTATAAAACCTAGTAAAAGTATTATGAGTAACCTAGATCTGTATAAAACCTAGTAAAAGTATTATGAGTGACCTAGATCAGTATTAAACCCAGTAAAAGTATTACTAGTAACCTAGGTCAGTATAAAACCTAGTGAAAGTATTATGAGTAACCTAGATCAGTATTAAACCTAGTGAAAGTATTACTAGTAACCAAGGTCAGTATAAAACCTAGTGAAAGTATTATGAGTAACCTAGGCCAGTATAAAACCTAGTAAAGTATTATGAGTGACCTAGGTCAGTATAAAACCTGGTTAAAAATTTATCAAAGATCTATGCCAGTATATAATAGTATTTAAACCAACCTTAATTTGTTCTGGTCTAGCTAGACCTACTTGCATCATGAATTCTTTTATTTTTTCTCTCTGATCTCCCTGAAGTTGAATACACTCTCCGTACTCTGGGTTAATACTTACAGTACCATTACACGCATATTGCTATAAAATATAGACAGAAATATTATTACATTTAATATAGACTACTCTCAGGTCCTGTTTTATCTTATAATATACTTTATACAGGGTCCCCATCTCATAATATAGACTACCCTCAGGTCCTGTTTTATCTTATAATATATTTTATACAGGGTCCCCATCTCATAAAGTCGTATAATCAATAACTTGGATCCAGTAACATATATTATAATCATGTAATAAACAACTTCCTCTCATGATTTCCTGTGAAGACCCAGACAAGACAAGGAGTGAAATATGATATAAGCTTTCAGTATTGAGTCTATATCAGTATAACAATAATCAGTTATTATAATTACACTAATCTTGTTCTGTTTTTTACTAGCTTTATCATATATTATGTAGTCACTTCAGTTCAGGTCTAACAACAGCCTTCTAGAACGTTTATCAAATTAATCTTTTGACCTAGGTAACAAGATGAAGTTGTGTTATAGAATGGCAGCCCTGGAGAAAGTAGAAATTTGATGGTTGAGGCAGACAACATCTGGTTAGGTCATAAAGCTATTTTCACAAACCTTCAAGAGGGCTATCGTTAGACCCTAACTATAGTGACTATGTCAAAAATAAAAGCAAATACAAAATGAAACGAAAGTTTGGTCTAATTTGAACAAAAATAAGTTCTCATTTCCCTTATATTTGTACCACAAATCTCTAAAATATATGTTTTAATCTGACGTCATACAGAAATATTAAAATAGAACTTGAAACATGTAGTTACTCAGAGTTTCACGCTATGCAACATTCTGACAACCTACCTATTTTCAGCCTGTGTCCCTACCCCCATCTAACCCTACTTTAATACGTATTAATATCTTACCTTTTTACAAGCTTTAACAATCTTTTTAAGGTCGTATTTTGGGTGAATTCCTTGGACGGTTGTTAAAGTTTTTCTGCCGTTTCTCTGTTGAATTCGAATATGGATTAATCCTTCTTGAACTTTATTACTACCAACCTCATTTTCACCACTTTCAGCAAAAGGATCTACAACAATAACATAGACAAATAATAATATAAATAAAAATATAGAAATATACCTCAATCAAAACTGAATGTCACTGAAGAGATAACGAGAAGCCAAGCTAAATTGAAGTGGAGCAAGCGACATCTGAAAAGACGTACAAGTGAACAACGGGAATTTTCTCAGGAAAGCAGCATTTTAAGCCCATTTCTTTCCAATTTCCTTCTGGTGATTTTTAACACGCAAAGTCTCTCGTGCCTGCAGGTGGTATTGAGCTCCTGCTGATAGATAAGGCCAATAAGCCAGTTCAGAACTATACATGCGCAACACGTTTATTCCCTACTGCCATGTTAAATCAACTTTATTCATCCATCGGCAGAAGAAGGGAATTAGCATGCTCAAGTATAGTTCCGAACTGGCTTATATCTAGATGATCAGTATCATGTCCATTTATCATGAGTTTTCCACAAATTAATAGGCCTATTATCAAATCAGAATAAGACTTCATAGCCTGCTACTAATACTGTGAAGAGATTAACGGAATAGATAGCCTAAACATATACCATTCAAAGGATATCTTTTTAGTCTGGCATTATCATCATATTCTTAGTAGTAAGTTAAAGATTAGGGTAGGTTATTCCTGCTTAGGCTAATACCTTCTTACTACCTAGCTAAGAGTAGTATTACCCTACTCTACGAGTGTTTGAAAATGAAATGGATTAGTTTCATAATAAATCTAGGTTAAGTCCGAGAACAAAATATGTAATAACAGACGATTGATAAACCTGGCCATTTAATTTAGTCATTTTAATTGAGAATTCATTCAGAATTTCGATCAACGCAGTTTATATTTCTCTTGCGGTTAGGATCTGTCAAACCAACGCGAAATAAAATCAACCAAAACAAATAAGTTTAAGATGAATTACCAAATGCCCCTTTTAAATTCTGGATACTCTCGGTAGTCATACAAGCTTGTGAAGATTTCCTCTTTAAAAATATATTCACGTGAACTCGGTTAATTTAACGCTTTATTGGATGATGGCGGATTTCTTCAACGACTACTTTTTCTAATGAGAACAAGGGAAGCCAAAATAGGGATGTGACGTCACAGCTTAGAGACTAAATTTTCACAAAAAATATTAAAACTTATTTCCCAGAATTTGATAAATTCACCAAATATTTTATGTTCAATTTGCATAAATATTTTATAATCAAAAGCAAGAAATATTTTTAAACTTTTCAAAAATCGAAAGATTTTTCTAAAGCTATTTGGTTTAGAGATTCTAAAATTAACATGGCCGAAAAAGAAGCACGAATATTTTCATGAATAATGTACAGAGAATATATAGTAAGAATTATAGAAAGTTTAATGCAATTTTATATTAAACAAATGCTTTTACATTGTATTTATCCGCACAGCTGATAAACTTTTTAATATTGTCATAATTTCTTTGTTTCGACAGGTATCGAGTTTGTAAACACGCCGAACGCTGAAGAAAAATCGAAAAGAGAAGCCATTTGCAAAGCAAAACACCCAGTATTTTTTGAAAACCACTAAGAATTCAGCAAAGCGCAGAAGAGAACCTGAAGTTAGACCTATGAAGACATAAAAAAATACCAACTTAATTTTGATAGTTGTCTTAAGTTTGAAATGGATGAATATGACCCAGAAAGTCCAACTGAGTAAGTTCTGTCTTGTTCTGTTCTAATATTTGTAGTAGCAGGCCTATCTACATTAGGTTACAGAATACAAATCAAGAGTCCAAAATCACACATATAATACATACTGTCTGAGCAAAGTTAAGGGTTGTTAACCAATGAATTTTATCCATTATTTTTATGAGATACATTGGAATAGCAGCCTCTAAATAGCACTGTTTAGTTTCGTTGATGAAAATAAAAACAAGATGTGTTAAAACCCTGGTTTAATGGGGGAATTCCGCTTTTTTGTAAAAAATTTTCATTATCAATAATGTTGTGAATTATGCCTGAACATATTTCTAAAGTACACTATTTATATCTATGTATCTTCTTAATTAAACTGAATTTATTTTAAAAGAGTTTATGAAAAAAAGAGAGTAAGCTTACTAATTTTCATTTTTTTTGATGAACATTTTAGGAAGAAAGTGTGTAAGATCATTTTAAAACTTGAAGCTGATTTTTGAAATTTGATTTTATGTACCTCTTAGAATGGCCCTAAACCAAAATTGTCCCAGGTCAAAATGGCTTCAAAAGTCAACATGGTCCTCAAAAATATAGTCAAAATGGCCCCAGAAATTACTCTTTGATTTCAACCAAATTTTCAAGTCAAAATGGCACCTAAAAAAAGTCAAAATGGACAAAGTGATATGTGTAAGTGCTCTAAACTGTATGTTGTTAAAATTATTACTGTATTAAATAAAATATATTTTATTTTTTATGGGCCATTTTGTCTTTTTGCAGGGGCCATTTTAACCTATTCCAGGGACCATCTCAACCAACATCAACATCAGGGGCCATTTTGACCAAATTGTGGGACCATTTTGGTCTAGGGCCATTATGACTATAACCTGTAATTTTGCCATGTTTATGAAGTTTTTGTTTTTTATTTTAGAGACAGAGAAAATGGGGGAGTAATTCAAGCCCAAGCAGTAGTTCCAACGATCGGCGAGAAACCTTCATTTAATGATGTACCTATTACTGACAGATGGACCACCCTAGAAACTTCAGTTTTAGACGAAGGAGGCTACAAAAAACCAAAGAAAAAGAAGAAAAAGAAGAAACGTGGTGCTTCAATGGAAGATGGTGGTGAAGGATTTGATGAGGAACAGGATATGCCGTTTCCACCGGAATCGACAGAGATTCCTGATATTAGAGACATAGCAGTGCAACCTGTTCCTCCAGCATTATCACAGACACCAAATTACCTTGAAGATGGTGACAGACCTCCAAGAGATAGGAGAGAGTTTGGTGGAAGACGAGGATTTGGAAATAGACACAGTTTTGATGATTTTGACGATGACAGAAGAGATTTTGATAGACGCGGAAGTAGAAGAGGAAGGGACCATTTTGATGATCGACGTGATGACAGAAGATTTGGCAGACGGCACGGTCGTCGAGACTTTGATAGTCCAGAATTCAACCGAAGCTATGATGATTATGATGATTATGAAGAAAATGGGGATTTTGATGGAGAATTCAATGGACCTGGTTTTGATGGACCTGGATTCGATGGTTTTAATGGCCCACCCGGTATGAACGGACCACCATTCGATGGTCAAGGCTTTCCTCCAGGTTTTAATGGGCAGATGCCATTTCCTCCAGGATTCCAACAGTTCGCTCAGCAGATGAATTATATGCCCGGGTTTAATGGACAACAGCCGCCCATTGATCCAAATACAGGAATGCCTGCACAATTCCCTCCAAACTTTCCCCAAGGAATGCCTGGCATGCCTATGCCTCCTGGACCTGGAATGCCTAACCAAGCGGGAATTCCCCCTATGCCAGGTATGCCAGGACAGGGTGGACAGAATCCTCCCATGGATCCTAATCAGTTTATGCAAGCCTATATCCAACATCAAACAATGTTACAACAACAACAGCAGTTTCAGCCTCAGATTCAAGGTGCTCCACAGTTAATTCAGGCTGCAGCAGATCCAACTCAAGGGACTGGGGCAGCTTTGGCTCAAATTCAGCTGCCTCCTCCCCCTCCTGACACTGTCACCCCAACTGTTGAAGCAACTCCTGGAAAAAAGAAGAAGAAGTCTAAAAAGAAGTCAAAGACTCCTGAAATTCCGCCTCCAGCTCCTGCGGTGCTGCCAGCCCAGCCTCCACCCCCTAGAATTCCAACCCCACCTCTACCGAAGATGGGAACTGGAGATGAACCCATTGAAATTGATGATTCTCCACCTCACGTCGTTGTTATTGATGAACCTGATGAGAACGTGGAAGAGGAACAGACTCCGATGCAGGAGGAGGACGAGAGTGAACAGTCTGCTGCCAGAAAGTTACTGAACAAGGTCATGAAATTAACTAAAAGTGGAGAAAAACCGCTTCGAGATTTAAACCAACTGCCCCCAATGATTGGTAAAGGTCTGCTGAGTTTACGTCAAAAAGCTCCAGCTGCTCCTGCTCTTGCCCCTAAAATCTCTTTCAGTGTAAAAACAACAACCAAAACTGTGGAAGGTTCAGGAGGCGAAAGTGATGAAGATGATCAAAGTAAAAAAGATCTCATGAAGGACAGACCAAAAATACAGAAAAAACCAGACATGTTTAAACCAGATGATGATAAAACAGATCCAACTGTTCAACATTTAATCAGAGTTAGAAACGATCTAGAACTCCAAGATAAGATACAGAAAGAAGAATTTAAAACTATTTTAGCTACACTGAATCAACAGCCAACGATTGTTCCGAAGGAGTCAGCCAAGGAGTCTAAAAGATCGGAAGATAGAAAGTCTAAACGAGGATCCAGATGGTCGGAATCTGATCATAATAACAGCCACGAGTTACCAGAGAAAGATGAATTGATTGGAAAATGGGCTGACGAATATCAAGATAGGGTAGAAATTGAGAAAAAACCTGAAGATAAAGACCAGAAAGAGGAAAGGAAAAGCCCAGATGATATCTTAAAAAGGATTGCCGATGAAAGGAATAGAATTGAACAAGAAATGAGTGACAGCCCAGAAGAGCCCAAGTCGGAAGATAAGAAAAGAGAAAAATCTCCAGAAAAGAAGAGAGATAAATCACAAGAAAGAAACAGGGATAAATCTTCGGAACGAAAAAAAGCCAGTAGTCCAGGTCGACCCAGTGAAAGAAGTCGTGATAGATATAAGGACAGCAAGAGAGATAACTCTAGAGACAGTCGTGATAGATCTAAAGATAGAAGTCGTGAGAAGTCTAGGTCAAGGTCTCATTCCCGAAGTCGCGAAAGGTCCAGAGAGAGGGCGAGGAAGTACAGAAACAAAAATAAAAAATCGCGGAAGTCAAGTTCACGATCAAAGTCAAGATCCAAATCAAAGTCCAAGAGTCGATCTAGATCCAAATCTTCATCCAAATCAAGATCACGTTCTCGGTCTGATTCAGAAGAGAAAGATAAGTTTAAAACAAGAAAAACGAAGAAAGGTTATTTTTACGAGGATGATCGAGGTTATTACTACTCGGCTAAAAACACCCCGTGGTATAAATTACGAACAGAAGGTGGAGGATGGAAACATCATCCTGGGTATTTTTATAAGACTGATTATAAAGTTACAGACTCTGATCCTCGGGATTCCCATCCACCCCCTCCTCGCTATAACCCTCGATATAATCAACGACGTCACTCCCGATCTACTTCTCGTTCTAGAAGTGACAGAAGACGTCATGATAGGAGAGAGAGATCTGAGAGCGATAGTCCAGTACGAGAGAAGAAGAAAAAGAAAAGAGATCACAGCAGTCAAAGTCGATCCAGCTCTGCTGCTAGCAGTGAAGAAGACCGTAAAAAATCGAAAGGTAAATCTAAGAAAGTATCGAAGAAACGCCACTCTGATAATGATTCGTCAAACTCTGATTCGGACTCCGAGAAGGAGGATAAAAAGAAAAAATCCAAAAAGAAAAAAAAGGCGAGCAAGAAAAGCGCATCAGAGGAAAGTTCAGATTCTTCCAGAGATTCGGCAGTATCCAGTGATGAGGGCAAGAAGATAAAGAAATCAAAATCTAAAGATGATTTGTCTAAAAAGCCCAAGAAGGTTGAATCTGATGAAGATAGCCCAAAGAAGAAGTCTGCTCCGAGACACGACACAACTTCAGATGATGATTCAGATGATGACAAGAAAAAAAGAAAACATGGCCGACAAAGCACTCCCAAGAAAGAAAGACGGCGTAAGAAATCTGAAACGAGCACCAGTGATGAACATTCGGATGAAAAATCTTCAGGAAGACGATCCACTAGAGATCGAACATCGCCTCAAAAACGTGAAGAATCGCAGAAAAAGGATAAGAATTCAGATCATTCGAGACGAAAACACAGTAGCAGCGAAAGGAAGGAAGAAATGGAGTATATGGAAACAGATGAACCTGAAGGAGCCTCGTACAAATCCTCGAAGAAAAGTCACGACAAGGCTCCGAAATTCGAGAT